ATATCGACAAGACCATAGTTTGCTGCTGATGTTTTACCTCATAATAGACGACATAATCGATATAGGTTCCGTAAAAAATCGTTTTATTCTCACCACAGCTACTATATTTTTTTTGAAGGTATTCGCTCATTCATTTTACCTCAATTCTTGGGTGTCGACATGCTTCTTCTTCACTACAAGAACGTAAACAGGTGCAGTTGCTTATCGCTCCGCTTAGTGTTTTGTTCTTTTTCTACTTTCTAGTGTTGTTTCTTTCTTATTTGTTAATGAAATGACTACTATAATTGACCATAAAATAGACAACTAAAAAACTAGTGGTAAAAACAAAAAAGGATAAAGCTCTCGGCGTTCATTAATCCCTGAGGGATGTGCCATGCATTCTACTTCATTAAGGAGGTGATTGAATGCATATCTAGCATTTACAATGACTCGCTGTGACCTACCAATGTATCGAGCCAGTCCTACTATCATCCCAGACAAGTCTGGTACCAATCCGCTGACCCCAGTGGGATGTAGGGCTTGGTGGGCCATTGGTGCGAGAATCGATTCCACGTGTGTGTTGCAGAGCGCCTCCGACCACTGCGCGACACGTGCTTCTTAAACAAATGGTAATAACTGTATTTCTGCAAAATTTTTAAGAACAGTCAAAGTCTGTGACAAGCAGAGTAAATTGTCTTTTCTCTTCGATGCTGTCCGTTTTCAGCTATTTGGCAGAAGACGCCCTTCAGAACGAAATTCACGTCGTCGCCTGGACAGTAAACGATCCACACTACGCGGCACTCTTTCGCTCAACTAACGTAAACGTCTCCATCTTCATTTTCAATGGAATACATCCGATTTTCTTCTAAAATTTCTTTTCTGTTTTCAGGTTCCCTTTCTTACTGATTTTCCACAACTTTTAAAGGACAAAAAACACTAGCAATTGTTATTTTCCATATAACTCTGCGACAACAAATACGATAATAAATCTTAAACAGTTCTATGTCTCATCATTTAAAACCATTATCCAGTACATGTGCTTCTGATGATGATCTTGTTGAAATGTTTAAGCAGCATTCCCTCCAATTCACTCTTAGAGAAGGTATTTCGCAAAGAGGAATGCTATAATCTTTTGTCGGATATCTCAACGCTAGACTAGATGGAAGCAGCGAGAATAAAAATAAAGGATAATAAAGGCTAATGCTCTCGGCGTTGATCTATCTCTGCGGAATGCACCATGCATTCAACTTCATTAAGCATCGTTGGAGGTGATTGAATGCATATATGGCCTTTACAATGACTCGCGGTGGCCTACCGATGTATCCAGCCAGTGCTTCTACCCTCCCAGGCAAATTTGGTACCAATTTGTCAATCCTGGAGAGATGGGAAACTTGGTGAGCCACGGGCACAGGCATCGATCCAACGTGAATGCAGCAGGGCGCCTCCGACCACTGCGCCACACGCGCCCTTGAAAATAAAGGTAGTATCGTAAAATTCGTAGTATAAGACCAACTAAAACGAGAAAGGAAAACGTCTCGCTATTATCGTGTTTACAATACGCTTCTTCCGAAGAGATCACTTTTCTGAAGTGGCTGCATGAAATGAATGCACAGGAAACGTGTATACGTAGATGAATCACGCCCATACGAATAAAACTTGTCAACTCTTCAATTTTTGCACTCATGCATTGCCATCGTTCTGATCTGAATCCGATCATCGCCGTCTCTACTCGCTTTCCATAGTTAACCGTAAACTGGAAGTGCATCGTTATCACAGTTCCGAGAAATTTAAAGGAAGCAGTATATTAACATTCTATCATTAACCCGAAGCCTTTTCCCTAGGTGACCGGCAAATCAGGGTATACGCAGCTGAAGACTACAAATTGTTCGTCGAAGAACTTAGAACTTATACCAAACACGTATCAGTTCTTCGAATAAGACGCTTATAGCAAATCCTTACAGCCACTAAGGTGCTGTTCGACAAGATCCAACTAGAAAACACCTAATGCTGTTTACATTGCTGTTTATATTAAATCTCGTCTTCAGAATATCTTCGGGAGGGAAACTGCATCTGTTAAGAAAAGAAGCCGTTGAAAACAGATTAAAAAGAAACCAGTTTAAAGTAGTATTGTTGGAATCTTCACTACTTCTTTAACGCTCAAGAGAACGAATATCTCCGAATGCTCCAGCAATGCGTATCTGGATGGGGAAGCCAATATGATAAACGACTCAGCTTTATGAACAATGGTACGGTGTTATTGGTTTTCCATGGAAGAGACATATTGCATTCTGAGAGGTAACGAGTCAAGAGCCGATCCAGTGTGTTGATGAGAATTGGTAAAGGGTTCTTTAGGTATTTAAATATTATCCTGTTCCACTTTTTACCGACTAAAGAGCCTGTTGGATTTCCGAAGGAAGAACCGGTGGCACGACATTTCCATCTTCCTTCATTTCATATAAGGGTAGGATGATGTGGCAATATAGAAGAAATCCGAGTAGTAACCGCAAATGATTTTCTCCATTGTCTTTTACGCTGTAACTGCTTCGCCTGGGCATCGGAGTGCTATAATATTGGTCTTGCAATTGGCGAAGCTTCGGTGGGCTTTGCGAATGCTTTTCCCAGCCTCTGCAGCTTCGACCATTACTGCTGCTCTTCTATCCTTAAGATTTTCTTTTATCGTCTGTCTGCTTTATTTTGCATCTACAGATGTGAGCTGGCGGCTGGATGTAGCTCGTGCGATTCCACGCTAGCGTATCAGCTTGAGTGTTTTTGGAAACAGACGTCTCTTGGTGACTTTCGCACTGTCAACTTTCATAGCGCTAACGCGATGTTGAATGAGCCGATAGTGTTCTTAGCCGATGTTATCGACAGCGGCACCATACCAACAGCCGGCTAATAAATTGAATAACTCCCAGTTTCCGGTGGTTCTGGGACTTCGGTTTTTGAATTTGCCGGCTTTTTCTTCTTTCTGCTAGTAATAGAATCTTGCACGATGGAGGCTACGGTCTGATCCCGTGTAGAATTTTGGGACAACAGCGACATCGGTTAGGAAAATCTTCGATTTACTGTGATTTAGTCTATTCGTTATGATGACTTTCACTGAGAGACTCCCACAACCAGCCTTTAATATTAGACTCCTGGAATTGCGAGTTACAATGAATGGTGGTCCACCCTGCTTGTTCTATTTCAATTCGTGGGTCATAATGTGATGTTCTTCAAAAGTTCTTCTAGGTCTAATCCTAGCGTTAAAATCTCCAATACCTTAGAGAATGTGCGCCTTTCTCTGTAGAAACCCTACAAGTCCATTCGGAGCCCTTCGGCCTCCTCGTCGTCACAGCTTGATGTCGGCGCGCAAACAACCAACATTGTCCAAGCCGGCATTGATCCACATCTCTTAAATAGTAAATGCCCCATTTTGGTTGTTAGTTGTTCGAATGAATCGATGCTCATGTCTAAACTAGTGTTAACGAGAACGGCAACTCCAACTCCACCGACTCCTCTGTCGTCGTATGTCCCAAGGACCTGATTTTCTTCGGTATCATAGACGGCGTTGAAGAGGTGGAGTCATTTCACTTCGTGCAACCCGATGATTGCGTACCTTAATCTTCTTACCTTAATATTCAGGTTTTCTGCATTGAATTCACATGTAAGTGAGTGTGGATTGCAAATACATTTCATCACCTTAGTCTTCCGAGATTTAGGAAGAATAGGATGGCCATGAGATTTTAGCAGCCTCCCCGTACTTCTTCTTCCCTAGCCGTTGTATCGTGAGCTCTTTCTTAGTAGGAGAATGAGGCTTGCCGAATTGACTCATTAAATGCAATATGCAAAAAGAAAACACACACGTATGCATGCAAACCTTCTCCGAAACACAGAAGGCTTTGGCCAAATTGCTGCAGCAGGAACAGAGAGTCCATAACATGCATTCGCATGCGTCCCAGGGATGCATAAGTTTGCTTTCTATCTTTGATTAACACCCTTTCGACACAACTTGTGGGATCGATTCTATCTCAGAGGTGATACCGGGATATCATAGTTATACAGATCTCCACAAGATCATTTTCGACCAATTTGTTTTTGAGCCGCTTCCAACAGCTTTTCTCACTGTGCCAATGAAAATCCATTTGCAAGTATCTTCTACAGCTGGCATTCATTATCAGCTGTGACAGATCCGTTGCAGTAGGATCAAGCTTTTGTTTTATTTTCCCTATGCTTTATTCATTTTTGTTGGTCTTTCTTATTTTGGCAAAGAATTCTGCAACAACGATTTTATAGAATTTTTCGATGCAGATTGTTTCTTTTAACTGGATATAGAACGGATCAGTTCCCTCTCGTCAGCTGTAAAAGATTGCGAATACCATTTGTCGAAAATCTCCTTCTTTTGATGAGTATGTCGAAAAACAATAGAGGCTGTGTGAGGCAGAGATACCTTGTATGAGGTGATCTTTTGAAAATAGACGGTTTGCCATAAAGGAGCTTAAGGAGGAACAAATCTAATCCAGGTTTCTTAAGGATAAGGCATTGTATTTCCGAAGTAGAAGTTCACAATTTCAGGTGACGCGAATTAGATCCATAATTGAATTTAAATTTTTAATTTAGACACCTTGAAATTAAAAATATTGCTGGGAAAGCTTCTAGAGTTTTTAAAGGGAAACAACTCCATGAAAAGAAACGACCAACTTTGCTACTGAACAGAACTCCTTTCTGCAACGTTATTGGGTTCAAGATAACTTTTCACAGCAAATTGAAAACTCTACAGAGGGAATTGAAAAGAATTGTTCAATCAATGCCGAGGTTAATAGAAAGTCGGACGAGGGAGTTTCTATAGAGGGAATTTAGTCAAGAATGCTTCATAAAATATTTGTTGAGAGCACAGAAGTGATAAGTTCCGTTTACATTTAATTAACATCTACAAATATCTTATGAATAAGTTTGTCATAAGGAAATTTTTCGGCAGAATTCAGATGAAAAGGCACAGAACAGAGCGAACAAAAAGTGCACTTTAACGATTTCTCCCGAACTCAGAGATAGTTGATCGAATCGCTGTGGACGGAATCGCTCATGTTGTTGGCTGTTGGGTTGCCGATTGCCACTGTGCGAGATCGCTGTACAGATGGTGACGGACTAGAAATTTGTAGTAAATTCAGTCATAAGATGAAATGAACGTGTTTAACATGTTGTTGCGTAAGCTTTTCAGAAAAGCAACTTTAGCAAAAAGTCGACGAGCTTTTCGCTTTTTGTTAATAGGTGATTAAGATGAACTTACTCAACGACCATTGACGTCTTCCTATGGGAATGTAAACCGTGCTGATTTCTAAGTTCTTCAAACTCTTCAAACTCTTGCCAATGTCGTTCGCAAAACTCTTGCCAAAGCGCTTTCGTTACGTACACCACGACTATGTCGCCAGCATGATTAGCCATCATCCGTAGAATGAACACCTAAACATTATTACATCCTCTCTTATTTTATTCAAAAGTTAGTTTAAATCATATTCTATGCAAACTCATGTAATTTCCTCTGTTGAATTATTAATTCCTACAGAGCACATGACCCGTCATCATATCTCCTGAACGGATCCCAGCATTTCTTGCATTTGAGTCAGCGTTTTTCACATTTAACGTCCACAATGGTCTCCGAGCATTTTGCTTGCTGCTTCAGTTGCTGATTGAGGAGTTCATTTTTCTGAATGCCGTAGAATGCTGGTCGACTTGATTCTGTTTGTGCTTTTTCAGATAGTCGAGCTAGGGCGTTGCCAAGTGTGTTGGAGGAGAGCGTTGGTTTGGTAGTGCAGCTGGCACCTTTCCTCCTTGATCGACAACATCACTAAACACCGCGCCATCTCCCTCATCCCTTTCCAGTTCTTAAAAAGTAACAGACACTCTAAAAACAAGCACCGGATCAGTTTTCATAAAGTTAATAGGTCTTCAGCCTAATCACTTGTGGAACTGATTTGGGCTATTAGACCTGTAACACACCGTATGAGATGTAGTGTTTTTGAAGTCATTTTAACTGCATGAACGCGTCGCGACTTGCAATGAATGTGCAAAAAAGCAGATGAAGAGCTCTTCACTGACGCGTGACACTGCAACGTATCATTTTAATATGGAAAAACAATGAAGTATGGTGTCCGTGACGTCGTCCACGACCAATCGGTCGATTGTTCAGCGCCGCAGAAATCGCGGGTCGTGGCAATTTCCTGGTTCCACATGACAAAGCCTTAACAATGTCCTAGTATGGCTCTCTCAAAATTCTGGAAAAAACCGTCTTCAAAAAGCATTTAAAGTCTCAGCCAGGATGAAGTGATACTGTTCCTAATGTCGAGCTTAGAAGCGAGCACGAGCCGTAAATCTCTCATGGGTTTCGATTAAAACAGAACGAAACAGATGGAAGAACTTCTCGAGTAAGGGGAAATTGTTTGAGAAACCATAAAAACTAATATGAACTCTTTATTTACTGCCCAAAACGATTTTTCACAGAAGGGTATCATGTAGGATGCAACCACAATGATGCTGAGATATTTCCAAAACTCTGTGCCGTGGAGATTCAAGCACTCGCATAATGGGGTGGTTAACGTGTTAGCCCATGGAAAAGGTAGATAGCTCGTTCGTTCGCCGCTACGGGCAGCTACGGTCCCGAGTTTTGCAAACATCTCGGCATCATTGTGGTTGTTCAGTTTAATTCTGTGATTTACTGCTTTTCTGTAGTTTTAAGCAGAAGCGTGCAGTAGAATGCGCCATTTGCAAGAGAAAACTTACAGGTTCCATCTAAGCTGACCTACAAAAAATAGTGCTCGGAAAGTCTTTTTAACGCTTAGATGAATCCAGACGTAATTCAGAACGCAAATAAAGCGGTGAATTTACGTGCAATTAACCAACGTTGATGACATCCACTTTTTCTACTGTTCTTTTTGGCATAAAAATTTGTCCAGTAGCTTTTAGAAAATCGGTGGACTCAGTTTCCTTACCTGTCAAACGACAAGAGTCTTAACAAACTACTGTCTAATCTTGACATCTTCATACCACTTAGCCACAGGGAAACCCAAGTTGTTACAGAGTACGACGACACCGATCCTGTGTCAATAATAGCCATACGATGTTTAATGAGTTTCTGATTTATCTTACCACGAAGCTCTACAAATTTCTAACTGCTAAATATAACAAGAGTCGTTTTTACGATGCGATGCATCCGGATTACTAAGAGAAGGTGAAGGTCGATTCCTCTGTGAAGCACCTACAGTAGAACAGAGCAGAGAAAGTTTATTGTAAGATAAAGCAATTAATTTTATATATTATCGTATTATATTATTATATACTGTTGCAGAGAACGCGTGTGGCACAGTGGTCGGAGGCGTCCTGGAACACACAACAGGAATCGATTCCCGTTCTCATGGCTCACCAAGCCTTCCATCCCGCCTGGATCGGCAAATTGGTACCAGACTTGTCTAGGAGGAAAGCAGCACTGTTTCGATACATCGGTCGGCCATGAGGAGTCATTCCAAAGACCAAATATGCATTCAATCATCCCCAAACGTTGCTTAAGGGAAAATCGAATTCACGGCGCATCCCTCAGAATTTGTCCAATGTCGTGAGCTTTACCTTTTTTATAATATTGTAGAATAGGAAAAAAAAGTTATTATAAGTTGAGGTAAACTTTCCACCAGTGTTTAATTACAAAACCTTCCAAATATTTTGAAAAAGAAAGCAACTGAATCCAATTGGAAAATAGTATTTGCATAATCAGTAGGATACAATGAAACACCTGACCCCGTCTGACTTAAGGAATTGCAGAACGAAACGATCGAGGAGATGCGGAACGAACGGTATCGTTGAATAGACACGCTCGATGGAGTTGCCCTAAAAATTTGGATAGCTTAAGAAAGGATGCCTTTTTAACTTCACTAGCAAGCCCTATAAAGCCGAAAGTTTACATGCATGCTAAGCTAGACAACAAGAATCCGGATAGTCTTGCTGTAGTTCGATGAGCATAATATTTTTCTCGCCGCATCCGAAGCATTCCCATCAGTCTGATAGAAATTTTGCCGCAAACTTGAGATCCCGTGGAAAGTAATCTTTAGCGATTCTTGTTTAAAGTTTTTCTATAAGGAATCACTTCTTCGCGTTATTTGATTGTTAACTGATTGCCATATGCAGCGATAGTTTCAATCACTAATGGTTAACGTGCGTCACATCTTCCGATTTCCTCCATCACATAGTGCTTGCTCATTTATTTGGATGCTTGAAAGGTTCGTCTTCACAGGTGTTGCAAATCCCGGAAAGACTTCTATTCTCTCCATTCTCGAGCATGACGATGTGCCGATTTGAGCATGGTGGCGTCTGTCTAAAACACTTGCAGCTGCGAATACGGCTATCTCATTTTGCTTAAAAAGACCTTTGCTTTGCTCATAATCTTGTTGGTCATCCAAACAAGCCCTAGAATCCTTGCTGGGTCCACGTCAGCTCTTTTTGTCAATCTGGCATCTGTTCTTCTTATAATAGCTCAAAAGTCCGACTTTCTAAAAACCACGGTATACATAGTTGATATATTTATTTATATAATCTTATAGGTCAGAGTTGGTTAGAGTTCTTTACGAAGAAAGAAAGATATGATGCTCGACGAGTCCCTAGAGCGATCAGAACCCACTGGACTACTCTTGCACGCGACAGGGAAAAATGGAAAATTTACTAGCGCCTGCTCGAGTCACTCGACGATCAACGGGACTACAGGTGATACAGATGATCTTATAAATTGATTTTTTTGAGCTGATGCGAGGTTGGTATAGGTCTTCGTTGTCGTTGTCTTTGTTGTTGTTTGTTTCTGTTGGTGTTGTTTATCGATGGCTGACGTCTCGGCTACTTCGCCTTTCTCAGAGCTGTGATATTACGAGTGTTCTTCTTATTATACGGCTGGTCCGTCTACGTTTTATTGTTAATGTGTAATGAGTAACCCTAGGTTTCGAAGATGGAACAAACTTCTAAGATTTGAGCTCCGCACTCCGTTAGATGTGTTACGTGGCTGTTATGCTTCAGAAGACATCGTTCAAGCGCTCAGCGAGTAGTGCACATTATTTTTCACGCTGCTGAAGTATTAGTCCACGACTGCACTACGTAACAGAACGTTGAGAGGACTGCTGAGTGCAATATATGGAAGCGGATTTTTGGGTTCGTTAGTGTGCTGGTGGCTTCCATGAAAGGCTCAAATGAGTCCCATGCTGTTGTCTTCGTTCTATTCAACTTCCCCTTCATGTTTTTCTTCACGTTTACTGAACGCCCAAAGCACTTGTACGAAGTGATCTCCGTAATGAGTTCGTTTATTTCGATTGTTTACCGCCCTACCATGGGTTTTTCAAGAGCTATGTCTTCCGGATTAAGCGTAGCCCGAAATTTTTCCTTCTTGCATCAACGATCTCATTGATCGCCATCTCTGGTTCACGGGTACTTCTTGAAAATGTAACGAAAACATCAGCAAAGCGGAGACTTGGTAAAGATTTTTTATCAATACATATGCCTCACTCATCTCAATTGAATGACTTCATTCTCTACCGCAGTGCGGTAGTAAACTACTTTGTGGATACAATGTAGCTGTCAAAGAGCCGTTCACTATGGTTATCACAAAAGGTCGATGGAAGAGGTATATTTTGGTGGTGCAGCTCATATGCTGGTAAATGCAGTAAAAAAGTTTGGAAAAAAGTGTTTGCTGAACTGGTTACGCTACATCAATTTTCACTGGCATAAGCGAGAGAACAATCTTCCTGAAGAACTAGGAAAGTGCACTGAAGAAGCATATCGGGCGATAACCACAAGGATCTCTTCGTGCACCTTCCTTGATCAAGGTAACCTTGCGCAATGTCCTCCACCGGTCTGAAATTTTTCGCTTTTGCAGGTAAGATGATATATGCTTTGCAAAAACTACATTTACTTTATGGCTCCCACCTCGACGAAAACATGCTGTATTATTATTTGGCGATGAGGCTGTGCTTTTTCTTCACGCTTTCTATCACAACTCAACCTCAGAGAAAAGAATCCCAAGCAGCTTTTTTCCAGAAGGAATTCTTACACCTCGAAACAAGAATTATGGAAAGAAAATAGTTCGTATAGCTCTTTTCCGTCATAAATTCTATGTAGTGGCGAAACTGTAGCTGAACGTGGACATTTTACTCGAATAAGTGCCACTCATTGGACTAGTTTGTGTTTGGGCTGATTCTAATCGCATTCTTTGCCTGCAGCGACGGATATCAGTTTGCAAAGGTTTTTGCAACTGACATTTATTGCTAGCCGCGTTAAGTGAGTTACAGTAGGTCTATCTTCAGCTGCCTTTTCTTCTCGAGCAGCTTCTCAGTGGTAATGTAGATGCGATCTGGTCTGCTTGCTTGAGGAAGTAACGCAAATTTAGCATAGTTTCTAAGTGCCTCGGCAAGCAGCTCACA